GTCTTTAAGTTCCAATTCGATCGTTTCATGCAAATCGCTATCGTCTCGAATGATTTGACTTGAATGCTTAACTTTCACTTTGTTTTTCATTTAAAGTTCGATTTGTAATCTTGATAGCTTTGAAAGCTTAATCATTCAAATTCAAATGTTAGTAAATAAAATGACTTGATTGTTATAATCAAAACATTAAGGTTATAATCAACCATAGGTCAACATTGAGGAGTTAGGCATGAAAGTAGGGGCCGAGATCTTGCGGGAGATGGTATTGATAAACGTATGAACAATATTAAAATGGCAATTCTTTCATTCAAAGGAATGAGTGATCAGGAGGCATAATTGGATTGGGAAAAGAAAACAGAGTTGATATTTGATTGCCACAACTACTAGAAAGTAGGAGAAGGAACCGTGAGAGGTCTATTAATACATGTGAAGAATTGAAGGCTATCATAAGAAAATGGGTTCATGCCTAATAATTATTATAGAGAGCTTCATCAAAAGTTGCAAAACCTTTACCAATGTTCTACGAGTGTGGAGAATTGTTACAAGGAGATGGAGATTGCTATGATTAGAACGAATGCTGAGGAGGATAAGGAGGCCACCATAGCCCAATTTTTGAATGATTTGAATAGGTAGTTAGCCAATGAAGTAGAGTTACAACATTATTTGGAGTTGGAAGACATGCTATATGTAGCTATGAAGGTGGAAAGACAATTGAAGAGGAATGGGACAACTAGATAATAATCGGGTTCTTTGGGTTCTAATTCTTCTTCGAAACCGAATTAGGATAACAATAAAGATGATGTGGTTGTTTCAAAAAGTAGGACTGAGCTACCGAATGAAAGGGAAAATGTTGCTAACAAAGCTACATCCAAGGTGAATTCCTAACCTTCTAGGAATTGAGATATCATGCTTTAGGTGTTTGTAAAAGGGACACGTTGCTTCTCAATGTCCCAACAAATGGATGATGATTTTGCGAGACAATGGAGAAGTGGTGAGTGATAGTGATGGTAAATATGATGATATACTAGAATTGGAAGATGTTAGTGATGGTAAGAAAGTAGAGCATGCAGTGAGAGAGTTGTTGGTTACACGGCGAGCTCTTAGTGCTCAAATCAAAGTGGATGACTTGGAGCAACAAGGGGAGAACACNATATTTCATACGAGATGCCACGTCAACAATAATGTATGTAGTATGATTATTGATATGGTTAGTTGTACCAATGTGGCTAGCACTACACTTGTTGAAAATTTGAGATTAATTATGCTAAAACATCATAGGCCTTATAAATTGCAATGATCGAATGAATGTGGAGAAGTTAAGATGAATAGGAGAGTGTTGATGAGTTTCTCAATTGGGAGGTATCATGACGAAGTGATATGTGATGTAGTGTCTATGCATGTCGGACATATCTTGTTGGGAAAGCTATGGAAATATGACAGGAAGATGATTCATGACTGGTACAAAAATGGGTACAGCTTTACTAAGGATGAGAAGTCTATCACTCTTGCACCATTCACAGCGCAACAAGTGTATGCAGATCAACTCAAATTAAAAAGTGAGGAAGAAAAAAGATTGAGAGAAAAAGGGTGTGAGATTGATCTTTCACAGTACGAGAGCAAGAAAGAAAATAGTGAGGTGGCTAATTGTGAGAAAAAAGAGTAGAGCCACAAGAGAGTAAAGAGAAAAAATCTTATAAGGGGAGAGAAAAGTCGAAAGTGAATTTCTATGCAAAAGAGAGTGAGTTGAAAATGGTAGTGGTTGAGAACAGACCTATGATCATATGGTTTATAAGGAATCACTCATCAACTCAGGAGAATCTAAAACATCCCTTCCTAGTTTAGCTACTTTTTTGTTGCAGGAATTCGAAAACATGCACCGGAAGACATTTTCAGTGGGCTATCACTCATTCGAGGCATTGAATATCAAATTGATTTCGTACCTGAAGTTGTCATTCCAAATAGGCCGACTTATCAGAGTAATCTCGAGGGAACTAAGGAACTTCAAAGGCAAATGAAAGAATTGATGAGCAAAGAGTATGTGAGGGAGAGTATGAGTCCATGTGCCATGCCATCCTACTTGTGCCAAAGAAATATGGAGCTTGGAGAGATATGTGTCGACTGCAGGGCCATCAACAATATAACGATAAAGTATCGTCATCCTATTCATATGTTAGATGATATGTTAGATGAATTACATGGATCATGCATATTTAGTAAAATTGATCTTAAAGGCGGTTATCATAAGATTAGGATGATGGAAGAT